TATATATATATATATATATATAATATATATATGTATGTGTATACTTGTATTTTTGTTGTTGTGTGTTTTCGCTTAGCAAACAAAACTGAAATGACAAAAAGGCAGCTCAGCTGACAATGTCTTGACCAACTTGAGGACCACTCTTCATCTGCCAGCCTGCCTTGCACCCCTCCTGGAAACATTATCAAGGCAAACAGAGGCATAATGGAGGCCTGCAAAAAAAAAAAAAGAACAGTCAAGAACTAATAGTGGTAGCCGTGTTCTGCTGGCTCTCTGTGTGTGGTCCAAGGAGTGCGAATGGTGATGGCCTCCACGGGAGCTGGGAACTGCGAATAGGGAATAGGGCTGGGTCATTGTGATAAATAAGTAAGCAGCCGGAGACAGGCTCAGACCTCAGATCGATTTATGCAAAGGTTCCCCGTTCCGTTCCGAACCGTACCGTTCCACCTCCCCTCTATGAAGGAACAACGCTTTTAGTGACATTAAGAGGCCTGGCCCTAAATGTTTAATGGCCTGCAAATAAAAGTTATGCACGCCCTTGCCGAGCGGGGGGGACATTAGCGACGCTGGAAGATTATATCGGTGGGCAAAAAAAAGTGAGCAGAGGAAATGAAGGAAATCCGCTGATAAGCCAACAGCAGGCAGGCATCAACAGTTTGTGGTGGGGTGGGGTGGGTAAATAATTAGCATAAATCATATGTGGAAACTGAAGGTTTCCACTCTCTTGAAGAATGCTAGAAATTAGCAAATTTATTTGTCACTTGAATAAATGGCAAAATATTCATCAAAGTCAAGCATTAAAGATTTCCAAGAAAATCAAAAGAATTTTGGCAAATCTTCAATGCATAAATAAATGTATAAAGATTAATATTAGCTGCTTATTATGTCATCGTTTGCTCTACGGTTGAATACACAGACAACACAGACATATCAGCACCCAATAAACCTTTGCAATAAATTTATACAAAAAAATTCACTTTTAAAGCTTATCAAGGGAAACACTCTTATCTGCATATACATATGCATATATATGTGTATATTGTTATTTATATAGATTCATTTTGGAGGATTCGTAATTACGCTAAACGTTATGCGCATTTATTTCCCATTGATTTTGCATTTTAAACTATTTTGTTAGTGAGTTTATTTCCACGGAAATTTATATAGTTCAAAGTTGATTATTCTCGGTTGTATATGTGTCTATGTGTGTGTGCTTAAATATGCAAAGCTCGTGTTTGGGAACAACTTAAATATGCAGCTTACAAAAGAGTCAAAAACTAGTTTACGTTCAACATTTTTTTGGCTGCATAATGCCCTCAAAATTGCTGACTGAATGACTCTGTTCGTTCAGATTATTTTTATGTATGTAGGCACAATAAATGAGAGCAAAGTGATGCAAACTAGAGTGGGTGAAAGGGAGGGAGGGTCACACCCTAATGAGGCTTTGGTCACTCTGAAATGTTTTTGCATTCAATCTCTGTGTTGAGAGAGAGTGAGAGAGAGAGAGAGACCGACCATTGCATTGACCTAATTCATTTATTTATTGAAATTGCTTTTATCAAGAGTCAGGCACTATGTCTACCCCTCTTCTGCATCTCCATACACAATTTTCAGTCATTTCTCTGAGGCCTTCAATTATTATTTATCGATTCCAAGTCAATTTGTCAAATTTATTTTCCCAGTTCCGAGGCTGCTGCTGCTGCTGCTGCTCTCGTGCGTGTGCGGAATCCTGGCTAAAATATTTATGCTGATACCAAAATTTAGGTTAAGGCTTTTGCGCCTGTCTGTCTGTCATTCTCTGATTTTGCGTACATTTCTCGAGAAATTAAATTATAAATTTACAGAGCACATACTGGTACTATATTCCGCATTCCCCTGCGGGCTATACTTCGCCTCCTCCCGCTCCTCCCCAACAATCGGTATAAATTACTTGACTGCCTCGGGCCTGCGGCGTTGGTTGGGCCGTGCTCTCATTTGATCAATTTATGCGCGTACTTTTGTTGAACTGGAAAACGTGCCTTGGAGAGGGGCTAGCTGTGCTATGGGTCTCCATTGTCACCTCAGGTCTATCTGTCCGTCTGTCCATTTGTGTTTAGACTAATTTATGCGAGGCGGACACAAAGCAAAGTCAATGTCGTTTCCCAAATGGAAAAAAAAACGACCACAACAGAGTGGAAAATGGGCCTGTGGCGGGGTAAAAGTACATGGAAAAGCGTTTATCTAAGCGAAAATGTTACCAAATGCCGTAATTACAATTTATTGTGGGTAATTATGTATTTTTCGTGACGGTTTTAAGTCCAGAGACAAACAAAGTGCGTGCCTAGGTCAACATTTCCACATCTCCCCTCCATTTTTAATGAGTTTTGGCTGAAAACTTGCGGCCCCATAGCCATAGCATGTGGCATGCCACAGCAAAGATTGAGCAGAGCTATTGACCATGTCCCAGAGATAGACACAGAGAGAGAGAGAGAGAGAGAGAGAGAGATAGAGAGGGAGGAAGAAGAGTCTCCCCTGTAGCTGTGGCGTCTCCACCAAGTTGTTTGATTTTTCTTGTTTGCTGAGGCAAACTTCTTGTCATTTCCTGTCAATGGAAAATGACTGGAGGACTGGAGGATTTATTTTCTTGCCTTATTGAGAGAGATGTTCTCGTTTTGGTTGGACGACACGCATTTCCTGCCGAGAGCGATTAATCGATGTGGGAAACAGCAAAGAAAAGGCCCTGTAGCCAGAAGGAGATCACAGATCAATGATATTTGAGCCTCTCTTCAGCCTCTGTTCAGCTTTATTCTGCTACAAATCAAACGCTTCCCTCTATACAATTTCCATTAAACCCAGCAGCCAGACAAAAAAGTGTTTTCCCCCATTCAAATCACATTAGCAAAAGGAAAGAAAACCTTGTTCAAAGCTTGTACTCGTATTTCCGCTGAAAATTGAAATTGAAATTTAATTTGCAGAGTCCGGGCGTCCGTCATCATCAGCGGCATGGCATTAGTTTGCACATATTCAAATCAGCTTTTTATTTATTCAATTCCACATGGAAAAAAAGAGGATGGAAAAGAGGGGAATCATTAAAATAAAAACAGTTGAAGAGGTGTTGGGTAAGCGGCAGAGGAAAGACAGGAAATACGTTTTGGCCAACTAAACAGAGAGAGAGAGAGGGAAAATGAGGAGGAGTAGGAGAAAAACAAAAAACTGAAAATCATTGTGTGCCGTCCCCTCCTCGGGCATCATTAACATATATTTGAAAACGCAGAAGAATTCCTCGAGTGAGGTTTTCCCTCTTGCCATCCACCCATCCCCTTCGGCCATTCCCGCAGCGGGTTTCGTGGGTCCCCATGAAAATTTGTAAGTATGTTAGACTTGTCACTTGCACACTTCATGACCATATTTGTCACATTTGCGCCATGTTCGCCCTGGCCAAGAAGCCCGCGGGGCAACCACCAGCAGCTCTCTGCTCGTACTCGTGGCATCCAGCGCCAAGGATGGGGTCCGGCATGGGGTTCGCTTCCTGTACCGCTACCCTCCTCGGTGGGCAAATCAGATGCGCAACTAACGAGCAACAACCACGACAACGGCAACGACAACGACAACGGCAACGACGACATGGAAATTCGTTCGTTCTGCGTTTTGCCATATAGAGTGACCAGAGGGTAGCAATGGTCATGTTGAAACAGTTGAAAGCCAACGATGATGTATCGATAAATTATGCATCAAAAATTATGCACTCGGCTGAAATATATGAAACATATGCTACAGAAATATTTAAAATATACTACATATATTCTCTCTAGAAAAATCTCAGAAATCAGATAAATACCGATTAAATTATATGTGCTATACATCCCAGATAGATCTTCAATTTTCGACCAAGACTCGTGGGTGCTCAGCTAGTCGGAACCCTTTCTGTGCCACAAGCATTCCCAACTTGCTTTTATTGTTTTTCCGGCTGCTGCTCCTGCCTGCTGCTGCTGCTTTTGCTGCTGTTGATGCTGATGCTTTCTGCGGTTGCCGCAGACGCCTTCTGGCCATATTTGTATGAATAAATGCGTATTTAAGCACATACTTACAACACTTGCCATGTATGGTAGCCCAGCAGCAGCCCAAAGACAAGGGACACAAACAGGAGGACTGGGGACACGAACAAGGGGCTGGTACTGCGACTGGGATTCAGACAAGGGACAGTTCCCAGTGGCACTATGCAAGGGGCCTCCTCAACATTTTGCATTTTCCCTTTTATGCTTTTCCACATTTTCACATATTTTTCTGTTGCGGTTCACATTTGCTTTCTGCTGCCATCCCTAACCCTTACCCACCCCCTTACTCCTTTCTACACCATATTAAATTGCGGAAATATTTCTGATTCAAAAAAAAAGACGATAAAACATTTTATGAATTATGCTCGAACAATTTGTAAAGCGCTTTTTTGCAACATTATTTAAATACGAAATTGCAATCTGAGTAATTGAATATTAAATAATTATCCTGAGTTTATCTATTCCAGATAGTTGCGCGGGAAAACGAATCAAAAGTCAAACAAAAAATGTAATTAGTGTAGAAAATTAAAATTCTTCGCTGTCCGAGGGACAGCTATGTTATTTCTGCATGGGAAATAGTTAAAAACGCCATTGATAGATTATATCCACATGCCGCGTAACATACATATATCGTATTTTCTGATCTCTGGACATCCCTTTGATGCATCGATGTATCGATTGGAACCATTAAGGCATTAACATAAATAAATAATTAAAACTCAAAATAAAAAGAGAAAATTTCTTGCAAAATGTAGGCAAAATAAATTGGAAATGATGAAAAAGAATGCGGGGAAAAAACAGAGAAAAAATAAATTTAAAAAAAACAAGAATAAATTTATATGCATATTTAATGCGAATCATAAATTGCCTATATGCAAACCTTTTTGAATTATTATTATAACCATTTACCCGCTGGGTTGTCTTAAATAATTTATGTATTTTTTACACATTATATTCTCGTTGCAGGTATATTCGATCAACAATATGTTTGACAACAAAGTTCCGGCATTCAAATTAAAATTGAATTTAATAAAATAAATACCAAGTCAGAGTGCGTTAACGAAAGAGAAAGAGAGAGACGAATACACTGTTTGAATTGTTAATGAGCCACAACAACAACAATACCAACAGCAACAGCAACAAAAATAAAAATAAAAAGTGTTAAATGCTGATGACGTTGGTGCTGCCACTGTCACTGCCATCTGCCACCAGAAATTGCTGCTGCCACTCCTGCCATCTATTCACCAGTGCTGAAAAGTCAATTAAAGGTAATCAAATCGAAACTGATTGCTTTACAGCACCAGGCGACAATAATTTTAATTCGCATTGATGTTGTCACTTATTTCATTTCATTTTCTGCTAAATACAACAATTAATTGGGGCCAAAGCGGCTCCCTTCCCCCTTTGCGACCCTTCTGGCTTGTCGCATTGCGGTTTTTAACGCTTCGTCTGACATGTGTGTTTTTGCGCGGTTTTTGCCGCCATGGCGATATTTTCCGCTTACCTTGGCGATTTTGTGTTTGTGCTGGAATTTGAGGAATCTGTTAGGGTTCTTGTGGTTTACATGGGCTTAAGGGGATTATCAAAGAGTATCTTATTATAAAAATTTTAAAAGTGTTAAGAATGGAGATTCGGAGAGGCTTAAACTATTTATTGGCACTAAAAAGGAGTGAAGATTGTAGAGGATTGATTTTTGTGTTGATCCCATTCTAAATTGAATTCCCTCTCCTGTAATCCGGGTATGCTCTTCGAGCTACTGATGGAACTTTCAATTCGACTGCGTGACTTATTTTGGGGTTAACCATAACAAGGGAAAACAACAACTATTCAACACTAATTGCAAGTTGTTAATGTTGTTGGCAAAGCAGAGCAAAGCGACTCAATTGAAACTGTTTTATTTGTTTTTTTTTTTTGTTTTGTAGAAACTTTTGCAAAGTAATATAAATCACCCAAGGGTTGAGCGCAGTAACCCGAGCAGAACCGGAGAAGGCTCTTTCTTTCCAGCGAATGGTCGCCCGTTTAATGACGCAAGTAATTGCAACTGCAACTGGCAACTGGCAACTTTGCCATATGAAAAGGCCAAGGGATGGAGAGGCTAGACTTAATGAAAATCAAACAAAACGAAGCAGCAGAAACAACTACAATAACTCAAAGTCGGTCAACTGTGCAGGGGAACACGCTGTCGCTGTCGTTGTCGCTATCGTTGTCGCTGTCGTTGTCGCTGCCGTTGAACCCCTCTTAGAGACAGAGATTCGAGCATTTCCTTTCCAAAAAGCAATAATTGATAAACGAACATAAACGAACAGATGTACAAGTGTTCGGAATGAATGAATGAATGAATCAAGCTCAATCATGATGTTGACGATATCCAATTCAATGGTTAGGAGGGTACGGTACCAGCTAAATCAATTGATTTATGCAGCTGGAAACTGCATTTGATGAGTTTTCATTCGCGTTTAATTGAAAACAGTAATTAAATTAATGGAAGTCAGGCCAGGGAAAACTCTCTGTCTTTAATTAAGTTCAAGAATGACAGTTCTCCAAACTGCTCCCGGACCAGACTCGCTGGCAGACTCTCTCTCTCTCTCTCTCCATCCATCCATCCCCTGTGTGTTCTTTTTTGTTTGCTTCTTTCTCAATAATTGTCACGCAAGTCTTCCACTGAATCCACTCTGGAACCCAACTGAATGCGGAAGCTAATTTCGCACATGAAACGCGCTCGCGCCCATGGAGCGATGTCTCCACGCGTTTAGAACAGCGCCAGAAACGCGTTGCGTCGAATTTGTAGCTGACAAAAGAATTTTGGAACGTGACTTTTGCGGAAAGAGCTAACCATGTTTAATGGGGATTAACTGAAGAGACAGTGAAATGCACAAAGTAATATTGTTTACCAGCCAGCAATATTGCTTATATGTATGTACATATGTATTCCCTTAAGCGGACAAATATTTTGAATAATGACTCCCTAGCTGCCCTTGCAAGATCTTATCTTCCTGAACTGATTAATACCCTTTAAGATCTTATCGGATTTAATGGGCCTTGCAAATCCTAAGATATTTTCGCCCCTTCAGATTTACTTGTAAATTTATTACTCTTTAATCAAATTTGCAATTTTATTGCATTCCCGAAATGGAGCTCCAGCCCCAGAGAGAGAGAGAGAGAGAAAGAAGTCTTTTGTGTCTCTGCTTGCCTACCTCTCACATATATCAATGTCTCTCTCCACCGCTCTTCTCTCTCTCTGTCTCGCTGTCTGCTTATGTATTCATAATTAAATTAATTAAATTCTTGCGCTTCAATTAAAATCTTATTAAGTTTCTCTGTATGCCTAGCCACAGCCCCACAGTCTCTCTCGGAACAATGCTGGAATAATCGGTGGAAGAGAGAGTGGGCGAAGCAGGGAGAGTGTGAGCAATGAGAAATGAGCGGACGAAGTGTAAGAAGCACCGACTGCAGACAGAAAATGGACAAACTTCTTATAGAGCTTACTTATTCACACATTGCAGGCCCAGCAGAGCACAGAGCAACACTGAAACGAGGCTTTTCCACTGGCAAATGCTTTCCATCGCCTCATCGCACACCGCACACCAACCCTCCATCGCCCCCCTTTGGCTGAACATTATTCAACAGAGGGAAAAAGAACAAGAGAGTCCTGCCTGCCTGCTCCCGTGTTGGTCCTATCCTTCTCTTTTTTTTTGGGTGCACTGGCAGCACCCAAACCCACAGCGAAGAAGAGGAATGCTGGCAGACCATGTGGTTCCGTTGCTGGTTGCTGGTTGCTGGCTGCTGGCTGCCGGTTGCTGGTTTCTTTTCTTGTTGCACTCGTTGTACTTCGTACATATTGCCGTGCTGCATTCTTCGCATAAATTTCGCCATCGCACTTAACTCATGTCTCGGGGTCGGGCTCTCTTTAAATGAGTCTGGTTAGCTCTCTCTCTGTCTCTTTGTGACTCCCCTCTCCGCCCCGCTGGGCATAAACAATGGCGCTGTTTAAGGCAAAAAAACCACCGCTCCAGTGGCGCTCTTCTTTGCTCTGTCCCAACACTCCCCTCTCTCCACCCCGCCGCTCTATGCTGGCGCACCTCCAGCCACACGTATGACTCTGGCACACACATGTGACGTCCCTCCGTGCGACGCCACTGCAGTGCAGGGGGATGGTTGGGGCAGTACGCCAAAGTTTATACCTATTTCTCTCCTTTTTTTCTCTTTTTTTTTTACTTTGTTGAGCGTGGAAATTTAAAAGCAAATGCAAACAATATGGAACATTTTAAATGCACAGTGGGATGGAATCAAGTTATAGCTGGAATTGCAGAATATAATATTAGTCAGAAATGAAGAATACAAGCAGATGGATGTGAAAGAGAATTGAAATAAAGAAATGGTTGATGGAACATGTTGAAATGAATTTATGTAAAAAGATATAAGAGGTAAAAATAAAATATTTATGTGGAAATATCTGACCCAAAAAACCCATAAAACATAATTTAAAAATACATACACACACATGTATGTTTTATTATTATGCCCATAGCATTTCACTTAATTTTCCAAATAAAATTCATTAAATCTATCAATATTTAATCTTAGGCTAAGACTAAGGCTTATCCACTATGATTTTTGCCTATGCGAAAATCCAATTTATGCTCGCCTCTGTCACACTGTGCCTGGACTGCGGCTAGGTGAGAACGGGCCATAGCCAAGTAAATCAGCGCGACTGTGAAACTAAATTTCAAGCACACTAAATTTACGCACACCCATTTAAACACGAGCTCCCGCCCCGTCCACCACCGAGACCAGACTCCGCACCGGATCCCCCCCACTTGCCACATCCAACCATAGACTAGAGAAATGTAAGCTGCCCGCTTAGAAGCTTCTCTCTCTCTTTCTATCTCTATCTCTCTCTCTCTGTATCTTTCCCTTTCTGCTATCCCCTTTGTTACATCCTTGCAGTGCAATTTTCACCATTTTGTGGTGCACTTTGCGCCTGGCCGCGATTTTAGGAACGATTTATGGGCCACGACGCTGTCCTGGCCACTAAGTCCAGGTTCAGGCATTCTCCACCAGAGCCTCCGCCTCCACCTCCACCTCCACCTGCCACTGCTTGTTGCAGGTGAGGCGCGTTGAGTCAGCAACAAAGAGGAGGCCGCAGGGCGAAGGGCCAAGGACATCCGGTTGGCAGTGTCGCGACGGCTCCACTTCTAATGCCTGTCAGCAAATGCCGTTGTAAGGCCCCAAAAGCCGCCTCATCCTTCTGCCTGACATACAGAAAAATCCCACTGCCAACCAACCCACCCCCCACCGCCAAGACCGTTTTCATTTAGCGTTCTTTACCTTTTTACAATTTAATGCTTAATTTAAATACAAATCCGATCTGTTTGCTGACTTTTGCCGATAAGAGCGCGGCCCGCACCCGCCCCAGCAAATGATGGCCAAAGTTGGCAAACTTTTCCCGACCCGGCTAGAGAAAAAGCGTAGGAAAAAAACACAAACTGCTCGAGCCGAAGGCAGAAAAAATCATTTGTGCCTGGGCCAACGGCAATTTAATTTTCTTTGGCATAGAGCTGAGCAAACTTTTGCCGCACTTGGCTTCAAGGATCTCTGCTCCAGAGTTCACGTAAAGATTTGAGTCCAAGGTACACACAAGTCAGGGAAGAAAGGATAAGGGTTCATGGATTGATCTGAGAAGAGTTCTTAAAGTTATTCTAACTTCTTCCCCTTGCTGGCGATATCTTCTCACCATTCTTCTTATGCTTTAATCCTTTTTTAACCGCTTCCTTTTCCACTTAGGGTCATCATCCTGCCACCCAAACCTCTGCAGCCCATATCCACACTCCTCCGCACTCCCCATCATTATCCTGCATTCGCATTCTCTATTCATAGAATTTATGTCTCAACTTCCTAAGCCGTGTTTGTAGTAAAATTCCCACTATCGCGCCTTAATTTTAAAGCCCTCGACACTAAATGCTCCTCCACACAAAATTCGTGCCCTCCCTTCCCCCCGGGCAGCTCCTTGCAATCTGCAGTTATCCGAGGAAAGTTTATGTTCGACATGCTGTTACGGGCGCCATATGCGCGTTTATCAAAAAAGAAAAGCCCCACTAGCAGCTCCTCTGGCTGCTCTCTACCTACGCAGAAATAAGTCCAGTATATATATGGATATGGGTTAGTTTTCCGTTTGCCATATAAATTTGTTTAAGACATATAGCAAGGATCAATAGCTCGGGATTTATTGTCTGCCACATATAACTTTGCCTTGGCTTTAAACTTCCAG